ATATTTGATCTCATATAGCAACAAGGGAAAAGGTCAAAGTGAATGATGTATTTATGCATCATGTGACATACCATACCTCAATGATAAGACTAGAGATCTGCTCTGTCAACTCAATTATCTTATATTTAGCTTCAACTAGTTCTGATGTTAACTCTGATTTCTCTTTTGTTACCTTAATAATTTCCCCTTCCATTAATTCTTTCTACAAGAGAAAACATCAAGACAATAACATACCATGTAGTGGAAATTTTCATGGCCTAAAATTTTCACAAATCCATCCAAAAATCTATATCATGTATCATGACTGTGATTTTCTACTTTTTGGCCATGTTGTAGATTCCATTTTCATACATTTTTAAAAATGTAAAATCCACAAAATTTAGGCTACAAAAATTTCCACTATACAGTATATTCTAACCGTCTCTTTTAACTCTTCAATTTTGCGTTGCTTGGAGTTCATTAAATTGCTTGATTCCAAGCATTCCAGAGTTGTCTTCCTCAGTTGAATATCTTGCTGATCAATTGTTTCTCTTAATTGCTCAATTTCTCTATCTTTCTTCATCATTTCTTCACATTTTTCCTTCAATTGAATATCTTTTCTTTCGAGTTCTCTCTCTTTTCCCTCTAGTCTTGTACTTAGTTCATTCGCTATAGCTTCTTTTGATTTCATAAGACTCTTCAACTCACCATTTTCTTCTCGTAAGTCCTTAAACGTCTTCTCAAAATCTCTCATCTGCTTCATAAAAGATTTCGAATTATCACTAGAAGGCCCATTCAAAACTTCAAAACCCTATGTAACAAACAAGTAATTTATATTTCATTCCCCCAGTAGTTACTTCTAAAGTAGAAGCAGCTGAAGAACCATCTTTACACTCTGCCATGATGAACTGTCGACGACACCTCAGTCAGCTCCACCCCCAACAAGGGCGGGGCTCGTAAAATCAAAATCATGACGTAATCGAGTACGTAATTCATGCAATAACAACTAATATGAGATTTACCAATAAAAAAATTATAAAAATAGTGTTATTTCATTGTGCAGAATTCATTAATATGTCGTCTTTGTTTTTTTTTCCTGTCCCACACGAAATTTCCGGCCACATTTAGGACAGACCAAGCTAGGATCATATGGTCTTTCATCATCAGAGGAAACTACTTCTTGCGCTGTTGGATCACAAGATTTTTCTCGAGTTGTACCATCAGTTGCTACAGCAGCACTACTACTAGCCTACATGATTAAAGTTAATAATATTAAATCTTGATGCAATAAGGTAGAATACCTTATAAGCACTAGTAGTACTATCAGAGTGCCTATGTTTATTTCTAGCTAAGAGATTTTTCCTGGATTCATCCAAATCACGTAATAATTGATCAATGCTGCAGCAATTTTCATCTGTTGTACTCTCTGGTATGAGATTTAAACTTGGCTCTGGTCTGGGAATTATCTTATCGGCCCGTTGTAGCTCTTTAAGCAATTGATCAATAATATCGCAGTGCTTAACATTTGCTTCATGATGTCTCTCTTTTTCCACTCTATGCTTCTTGCGCAGGCTTTCTCTA